ACAAGTGTTAAGAAGAAGAAACGCTCTTTTGACAAAAAGAAAACTACAAAAATCCGTTTTTAAAATTATTGCGAAAAATCCACGCCATTAATTTTAAAAACGGATTTTCGTAGTTTTTTTTTTTTTCCCCTGAAAATAACTAATCCATGAATTAATTTACTTGCGCCAAAAAATATTTCTTTTCCTTTAGAGTTTAAACCACTTGCGCTAAGACTAAACTTCACGGTTGCGGTGCCGTGCGCTACAATATAACAAGCGGTAAAGTGTCTCATTTACGCCGCTCCGCATCTGCGAGTGCAATCCAGAGCTGTAACTCGAGAAATAAACAATCTCGTTGTTAGCGACGTGTGCACCACGTTATTTTTCATTTTTGCGATAAATGCTTATCGACGTGGTGTTCACGTCGCTCACGGTTTGAGACAAAAGCATCTCGACGTGCGTGGCACGTCCTTTTAGCGCAAGTGTCAAGAAATTTTAAACGATATTCATTTTATGAACTCTTGATACGTGACCTTCGAACTTCGACACCGGTTTCGAGCTTTGGCAACAGATATATCAGACATGCACAGCTGTTTTCCCTCTATGATGGAACGGAGCCACGTCTGTTGCAGAGAGGTTTTTCCTTCTTTACAATACATATTCTTTGATTCTAACCTCCATGGTACCGTATACTAGGATTAAACCCATTTTGTTTTATACGAGAACAGGTACTTTCTTTAGTTCATGCACTGCACATGCGATTCTCGAGAATACTGGAAACCAAAAGTTGCGGGATGCCTTTCTAAAAGACAATCAAATTGGAGCTGCGAAAATTGGCTCTATGCCAGCTACCCGAATGACACTCACGTGATACATAATTCGCCAAAAAAGTTATCTCTTCCGACGTCGGCGCAAAAATCGCTTTTTTTGGCGGCATCGTGTATGAACTTCCCTGACTTTTCAGATTTGACAAAATACTTAAATTCCCTGACTTTTCCCTGAATATTTTGGTCAATTTTCGAATTCCCTGACTTTTTCCGGTTCTCCCGGTAGCGTGGCAACCCTGATCTATGTTCTCCAAAGCCTTTTATCACTTAAGAAAAGGATCTTTTGTCAAAATTGTGACTATCGTACATTTTTCTGGTGGATTTGAAATTGTGTAACTTCATGTTCCCTTAAGTCAGGAATGAATATTCCATAATACGTGAAAAAAACATATACAGTCAAAAGTCGTAATTCTGACACCCATAATCCGGACGGAATTGCTGCAAAAAATGGATAAAGGCATATCCTTCTTTTCTCAAACCATTCCGAAATCTGTTTATCAATTTCACGCTGCTCTGCGGCCCGGGGGGGGACGCCAAAACGTCGTGGCGCGCAATGAATTGTAAGTTAATCTGTCAGCACTATCCTTATCTTCAGGGCAGATGTTTTTATTTTATTTGGCTTATAATTCCTTACTAAATGTAGTATTTCATTTCGATGTACGCCGTCTTTGATATGATTTAAATCAAATTCCTCGTCATTATAATTTGCTTCTGATAAAGAAGAAAGTGATACAGAAGTTATTGAAAACGAAAAAATTTCAATTGACAAATCAGTCGGTATTCACGACAGAGCAATTATAGAACTTTAACAGCGGAACTTTGTAACTGAAAAAGAAATTATGTCTGTTTATAGAATTAAAGAGAAAGTATTATCACATAAAACGAAGCAACTTAAACAACTTACATTGAAAGAAATGTTTAATAAAGTAAACAAATAAATATTAAGCTTTTTTTTTTTTTTTTTTTTTTTTGTAAATTTTGATACCTTTTAGATCATAATTGTTCTTTATTTCATAAATCACGGTTTTATATTTTTAATTTTATAATTTCTGCAAGCCATCTTACCAGATTTAAACCGATGATCTATAATCCGGAATCGCCGAAGTCCCGACGAGTCCGGATTAACGACTTTTGACTGTATTTATTTTCTCATATGTCTAACATTTTTCAGTATTATACTCAAATATAAGACGTCATGCTATATTTAAAATTTATATACATATATATATCAATATACCAGAGCCTGATCTTTACATTAAAAAAAATCACATTGTAGGAAAATAAATTTGAGATTCACATTACATGCATGGCATTCAAATTTATATAATTTTAATTTCAGCTTCAACATTATTCATTTCCTAGATCAAATCTTAACATGGACTTAGACTGATATGTTATGTCCTACACTTAGAAAACATTTCCATCCCTGGAAAAAAGGTGCCCACCAACGGCGAGCAGTAAAGTCGCTGAACACTGGTAATTGGTAGTTCAGTCTGAAGTTCGAATCCCGCAAACAGACAGGCTGCATGGACATTATCGTGGTTTTCCCCGCGTGTAACGTGTATACAAACAAGTTTCCCTTAGAAAGTCCTCGACGAAGGCATCCCTCTCCTTAGGCAGATAGCCCTCGAGGCATCGCCATAATCACATAAACCAGACCCTGCAAAAAAGGTTAGAAACAGATTATTTATTTCAACACGGCAAACCTCTTCTTTGTGATCACCTCTGAAACTATTTCTCCTCAATATACAAAAAATTCTGGTACTGAAGATCTTCTCTTTGAGATGGCAAGCTCTGCACAAAATTAAAATCATGTAGAACTGCTGGTGGTCATTTTAGAGAGGGTTCACTCTATTTATAAAAGATAAAAAATTTATTCAACTATTTCTAAAAATGCAAATTAATCAACAAAATCTGGTATTAAGTACTTTGTTTCTGTAAGCATGATTAATAATAACTTCTGAGTTTGACTTAGTGTGTATGATAACAATTTATTACATTAGTCAATGTCATTTGCTTGACAGATATGAATAATTTCTATTAAGGAGCTGTTTTGCTTGGACGGTTAGTTTGGTTTGGTTTATTTGATTATGGAAAGCATGCAAGGTCTATGTGGGAAGGATGTCTTTGTGGAAGATTTTATAACCCCCCCCCAAAAAAAACCCCTCATATTTATGCTTACACATGTAGAAAACCAGGTAAGTGCTCATGCAGCCAGCCTATCCACCTGGAATCAAACTCAGATCGAACTATCAGCGTTCCAGTCAGCCGCTTTTGGGCTGTGCGTGGAGGGCCATAAAGGAGAATAATTACATGCACTGAAAACTGAATTCTTAACTAAATGTATAACGAAAGCAATAGAAATTCATTTATTAATACTAGTTCTTATTAAATTAAAATACTGCATAAAATACATTTATAAGCTATTGAATGAAAATTTCCATTAACATATTTAAGACATGTGTAAAGAGTAATAGATTAATTATTTCTAATACAGTCAAAAGTCTTTAATCCGGACTCGTCGGGACTTCGGCGATTCCGAATTATCGGTTTTTCCGGATTATAGATCATCAATTTAAATCTGGTAAGATGGCATGCAGAAATTATAAAATTAAAAATATGAAACCGTAATTTATGAAATAAGAAATAAAGAGCAATTATGATCTAAAAGGTATTAAAATTTTACACACACACACACACACACAAAAAAAAAAAAAAAAAAAAAAAAAAAAAAAAAAAAAAAAAAAAAAAAAAGAGCAGTTTAATATTTATTTGTTTACTTTATTAAACATTTCTTTCAATGTGTGCATGCATAAAGCATACATTACGCATAGTCGAAATTAGAAAATTACAACCAGAAAACTATTTGATGTGTATTCGTGATATTTATAATGATGAGGAATTTGATTTAAATCATATCAAAGATGGAGTACATCAAGATGAAATACTACATTTTGTAAGGAATTATAAGCTGAATAAAATAAAAACATCTGCCCTGAAGATGAGGATAGTGCTGACAGATCAACTTCCAGTTCATTGCGGTGCCGCGACGTCCCCCCCCCCACGCAGAGCAGAGTGAAATTGATAAACAGATTTCGGAACGGTTAGAGAAACAAAGGATAAGCCTTTATCCATTTTTTGCAGCAATTCCATGTTTTGTTTAATGGACTTCGAAACATACTTTCGCTTTGTAGATCCTTTACATATTAGTAAACATATATCGGAAATTCTATTTGACACAATCGAAAGTTCAAGCTTTCTTTTATAAAATTTCTCTAACAGTCTGCAAAAAATAATAAGCCAGATCCAATTCGAAGATTAAGGAACAACGCAATCTGCGACATTAACTGAAATAGATAATTAGATAGTTTTAGCTTAGCTTATACCGTCCGTTATACATTAAACGCGCATGCGTAAACATATTATGCGCATGCATAAATGCATTATGCATTTACGCATGCGCAGAAAGTTTGTAGCTTTGAGGTCCGGATTATAGATCATTCCGGATTATGAACGTCTGGATTAACTGAAATAGATAATTATATAGTTTTAGCTTAGCTTATACCATCCGTAATACATTAAACGCGCATGCATAAACGTATTATGCGCATGCACAAACGCATTATGCGTTTACGCATGCGCAGAAAGTTTTGTAGCTTTGAGGTCCGTATTATAGATCATTCCTGATTATGAACGTCCGGATTAAAGACTTTTGACTGTATTATTAAGTAATTTTCTTTTAAAGGAATTAAAAATAAAAACAAACAAAAGCTTCTTTAGAGAAATTATTCTACTATTAAAAATCATGTACTGCTGAAATTCACATCCCACCTTAGACAAAATTAAATAAATGCATTTTTAAGTGATAAATCAAGTTGTGCAAAAATATTAAATATGAATACATTCATCTTAATTATTTAAAAAAACTGAATGTGTAGATGTGAAAAATTAAGAGAAAAATGCTTTCTAGATTATTCGATAGAAAGCTGACATCCTGAAAAATGAATACACGCATACACACACTCATACAATGTACGTCCAGAAAGTAAGTTCCGTTTGGTAATAAAAGTAAATTGTGTACAGCTACAGAAAAGTTATTTATTGCACAAAATTCAACAACTCTTAAACTACATTTCCACATAACTGCCGAAATATTGCAGGCATTTGTCATAGCGTGCACAAGTTTTTGTATACCTTCTTCATAGAAATTTGCCGCCTGTGTCTTCAACCAGTTGGAAACAGTTTCTTTCAGCTCGTCGTCATTGTTGAAGTGTTGACCGCCAAGGAAAGACTTAAGATGTAAGAACAGATGAAAGTCGCTAGGAGCGAAGTCAGGGCTGTACGGAGGATGGTCAAACACGTCCCAGCCAAATCCCTGTAAGAGGTTTTTCGTCACATTTGCAGTGTGTGGTCGTGCATTGTCGTGAAGAAAAACACTTTTTGACAGCAATCCTCGGCGCTTATTCTGTATTCCGCGGCGCAATTTCCGAAGTGTCTCGCAATAAGCATCTGCTCTGATTGTTTGACCACACGGTAAGAAATCAATGAATAAGATGCCTTTCCAGTCCCAGAACACTGTGCACATCATTTTTCGAGGTGTCAAGATTTGCTTCGGCTTAACCTTTGCTGGGGATGAAGTGTGCCTCAATTCCATTGATTGCCGCTTACTTTCAGGGGTGTCGTAAGAAACCCAAGTTTCATCTCCTGTGACTATCTGTGTCAGAAATTCTTCGCCGCTTTCAGCATAACAGGTCAAAAACTGAAGTGCACTACCCATCCGTTTTGTTTTGTGTTGCTCAGTAAGAATCTTTGGTACCCAACGTGAGCAAAGTTTACGAAATTTCAGTTTTTCGGTTACAATTTCATGCATTAGTGATCATGCAATTTGGGGAAATTCCATAGCAAGAGCACTAATTGTAAACCTTTGGTTTTCATGGATCTTGTCATCAATCGCATGAACCAGTTCTTCTGTAACCAAAGATGGACGCCCACTTCGTTCTTCATCGTGCACATCACTACGTCCGTCATTGAACTTTCGGACCCATCTTCTCACCATTGAATCACTCATCGCTTTTGGTCCGCAAATTTGCTGATAAATTTCACTAGGTTTCACACCCCTCGCATTCAGAAAACGAATCACAGATCTGATTTCACAAGCAGCGGGATTTTCAATCAACACCGACATTGTAAACAAGCACAACAAAGCGTACGTGACTGACAGCGATCTCCAAATGGCGCGCGTTTCTTCTCCTTGATACAGAGCGTCTACTGCGCATGTGCAGAACTGCGATCGCAGAGCTGCAGCAGAGATAAATTGAAACGGAACTTACTTTCTGGACATGCCTCGTATTTATATGCATACACACATATAATGATACATATAATGCACATATGATTATATATTGAAAATATATGTACGTGTGTGTATACACATGCACGCATATATATACAATATACAATATATAGAAAGAAATTTTGTAAAGTTTGAGACATAAATTTATATTCCTTCTGGAACAGTAAGGAAATAATACTTTAAAGAAAAATTTAAAAAATAGCATCACTAGAGCAAATTTATATTGCAGATTAAAAATGTTGAAAGAACACACTTCGCAATGCTGAACAGCAAAATGTAAACAAAGGTCAGAAATGTGACATCACTCATGTGGGCGGAGTTAAACCCTTATCTGGATTGTAATTGGCCAAACTCAAGCCGTTGTCCTAGCAGTGTACATTTTGCTTATATGCGACCGGTAGACTGCGTGCTTAGTGCGAGAGCGTAAAAAAACCCTTCTGGATGGCCATTAAAATCTAAAACCTTTATTTATTTATTTTTTTTTTAGTATCTAAATTTTGGGGGATGGGCTCAAGAAAAGTTTTTGCATAGAGGCCCAAGAGTTCTACACTACTGATACTAATGCATACTTTTGAGAAGTAATATGAATGAAGGTGTTACTTAGATAATGTGTAAGTAATGAATAGAGCTTCAATTTGAATGGCCTTGATACTGGAAGATGCTAAGCCAAGGTGAAAGTAGCACTTTCATTGGGAGCGGAATGAATTAATGCGATAACGATATGGAAATTTATTTCTTTAGTCGAATATGGTAAAGCACGTGACTTTTTGATTAGTGCAAGGTTTCTTAAACTTTTTGGGCGTGGGTACCCCCTAATATTTACGATTATTTTGCGGGACCCCATAAGCATTGCACAAATCCGACACACGTGTGAGTGAAACTATCAGTTTCTTCACTTGTACTGTAATGTACTATTGCAGTTTTAGGTCATTGACTTTAATTTTTAAAGTAAAATGAAAGTTTCTATTATTAAAAAAAAATTGCTTTGAGATGTTTTCGGTTTTTCTTTGTCTGTATTGTCTTATCTTTACGTATTTTCAGGTACATTATTTAAAAGTATTTGGTAATTGTAAAATTATTATAATAAGTTAAAGTAATAACAAAATTGCTAAATTTTTGGCAACCCACAGTTTAAGAAACTCTGGATTAGTGGAAGAAAGAAATCTGCAATCACAGTTTTCTAAAGAAAGCAGGCTTATGTTCATATTACACATAGGGGGAATCGTGAAAAGCCAACCCTTTCGCTGGAATTACTTCAGTTAAACTACCAGTGTCCCATAATTTCACCTACCTGGGCAATCATCAGTTATGGATTTAAATTTATTAATAGTTTTGAAGATAAGACATCATTACTTTACACGGGCGAAGATATTTTGGAAAAGAGGTGCACTTTGAAACTAAAGATAAGTCTTTCTAAATAAGCTTTCTACTGACAGTAGCTGACGGCGGGAATTGCACTGCATGGTAAACCAAGGTGGATGCACTACATGATGCTGTTTCGTTTGATAGACTCTGGTATAAAATTTAAAACAGTTATTCCTAATAGTTGAAATATAGCTTAAAGAGATTAATAGGCCCTTAATTTTAAGTTAAAAACACTAACTGTTTTTGAAATATGTTCAAGTTCTTTATGTCATCGAAACGATTGTAGTGAAAGATAGAAAACGATTTATAAGTAAGTCAAGAATTTCTTTAGAAGCTATTATCTTTAATGAGATCACTTTGAGTAAAAATTGAACAATTAACATGGAAAAGCACATAAATAGAAATTAACACGGAGCAATTCACAAGGAAAGCATCAATACTGAGAACTGATATTGATGAATATTATTCGAAATACAAGCCTCTTGCGTGGAAGTTCGTGATTAGATAACGAACCGGACGATTCTCCCAGATACCTTTCTTTTCTAAACACACATGTTTCAGTTCTCTGAATCTCTTCATTATCAAAATAAAAACTCCTTCAGCAGATAGGTTTAATTTTTGAAAGAAAAATTAGTCACATGGAAGCAAATTTTCAAACAGAGGAAAAGGAATGAGTAAACGAACTTTTGTTGGGGGGCCACAGGTGGTTGCATACATTTATTGACTATTGTGGAGGTCCTGCACAATGCATTTAGAACTAGAATTCAGGGTTTTTCGATTGAACACAGGATTAAAAATCATCTCCTTTTTTAGGTAAAGAGTTACTTTCAAAAGTGCTTCTTTTCAAAATGCCGTATCCTTTTCAACCTTCACTTTTATTAGTATTAAAAAAGAATACATTCTAATAATTTTATTGGCATAGAATATTTTGTATGGTACTTCTAAACGATTATAACAGAATGAGATATTTGTATAAGGAGATTTCATACTTTATTCTCTTTTGTTGCTAGTTTTTCAGGTTAGGTTATACAGATATAAAAAAACATGCAACAGCTATCTGCTTAGTAGAAGAGATGCCATTGCGAAGGACTTTAAGGAAAGTGGCTCGTATTCACCTAACGTAAGGGGAAAACCCTGAAAACCAACCCTGCAGCTAACCCATTAGCCTGGGATCGAACTCCCAGTATTCAGCGATTTAATCTTTCAGCTACTCATGAGGCTGTTAGTTTTCAGATTTTTTTTCTCAGTACAGTATTTGTTATTTATCATTAAATTAATATATTTTAAGATGCAGACTATGAAAAAATATGAAAACTTACATCTCATAGTTCTACACGCTTTTTGCTATTACATGAAAGATTTATTTTAAAATTCATTTTATTTAACATGATAAAACCTGCATGAATCATTTTCAATTAAAACATAATGACCTCAATAAAATTTTGAAAACTTAAAAAATAGCTCGCTATTTTTTTGAAGAATGAATTTTCAAGGAAATATATTTAAACTTCTCCCCAGTGACGGGAACAGTCCCTGGCTACGTAACGGTTACAATGCTGAACTATAATTTTTTTTAGGTAATTCAATGAACTTTATCATGAGGCGAGGATGCAATCAAATTGGGATGCCTTCATAACGGTGCCACAGCAAGAGGTAACGTGCACAAACTGAAGCTCAGTTTCTCCTTGAAACTGATTATTGGCTTCCTTATGCAAGTACGATTTTCAATTTTAGTTACTGATTCATTAAATAAAGAAGGTATTATATAAATCTTCGAAATCTTTATGATCTCATTTATACTTCCAAAAGGTATATATTTACGAAACAATATGTCACCTTTTTATATTACTTTTTTTTTTTTTTCCATCCATAAAAAAGCAGTCCAATGTTGCTAATGTTACCAACCTCGCTTCAAGAGATCCTGGTTGTATTTTTACATGTTATAAAAGTATAAATCTTTTCTTGGGGAGGGAACCACGAAAAACTCCTATACAGAAAGCTCATTCGCCGCAATGTGAAATGGAGTTGATCTCGCTGTTTTCAGCAATATTACGGTGGACCGCTAATGGATCTTAACAATAAATAGTTTTAATAATGGTAAAAATTTGAAGCTAATGCCTGATTTGCAACCCTGTTTATTCTTTATGGTGCATAAGTTGATGTATATTGCATGTCAATAGATAATTGGTCAGAGAGCTCCTTATCATAGGTATTATAGCACGTGGTTTAGCAACGTTACCTATTTTAGAAAGAAGCGATTTTAAATTTTTCCATTCGACTAAAAATTGTAAGACCTACTTCCAAGTGCTAATAAAGAGCTGAAATGCAGAAATAAGAACTTAAATTTACAATATATTCACAAGTCTTATAATTTATAGACACACATTTTAATTCAGATAATTTGCTTCCATTTTCTTTGTATTTTTCTTATAAAGTTAATTAAGGCTTTTAATTATATACGAAAATTCCATCTTCATTTCTTTAATTCATGTGATGTCAGACATAGTAGCGTAGCTAGAGGGGGCTAGTTCGCCTCAGACAGCATAATTTTGAGGCACCAATTTCATATGAAATAATATTTGATGGAGGTTAGTCCTGCGAATCTTTCAAGCAAATAAAGAACAATATGATTCTTTAATTTAAGAAGTTAAGAACTAATTTAAGAAGTATTTATGAAATCAATTTAAGAAGAAAGATAATTTTTTTTTGTAGAATTATATCCAAAGGAATCATTGCGAGATTTCCACAGCTACGCAGTCTTATACCATTTTTATTCATTCAAAACTGAAAATTACGAATACAGTCAAAAGTCGTTAATTCGGACACCCATAATCCGGAATGATCTATAATCCGGACCTCAAAGCTACAAACTTTCTGCGCATGCGCACAGGCATTTACGAGAGCGCGTAAGACCCTTACGGCTGCGAATATGTTTGTGCGCATGCGCGTTTAATGTGTAACGGAGTTATACGCTAAGCTAAAGTTATCTAATTCAGTTAATGTTGCAGATTGCGTTGTTCCTTAATCTTCGAAATGGATCCGGCTTATTATTTTTTGCAGACTGTTAGAGCAATTTTATAAAAGTAAGCTTGAACTTTCCATTATGTCAAATAGAATTTCCGATATATATTTACTACAAAGCGAAAGTATGT